AGACCCTTTTTGGGAATCCTATGGGAAAACCCACCCGGGATAAGGCCCCATTGGGGCTCTCCTAGGAGCATCCTTAAGGGGGAGCTTCCCAATGGAGCATCCCCATGGATTTTCCCACCCGTTGGAATTCCATCCGGGATAATGGCATGGAGGAGAGTGGGAATGGCCTTGGGATCCATAGGGATGCTATGGGGCCGGTAGGAGCATGTGGGATAAAGCGGGGTTCCAATGAGGCAGTCCCGATCCATCAATCCCAGTGTTCCATAGGGGATTCCATAGGGATTCATGGATCAATGCATGGGATTCATGGATCAATGCATGGAATTCATGAATCAATGCATGGGATTCATGGATCAATGCATGGAAATCATGGATCAATGCATGGAATCCATGGATCAATGCATGGGATTCATGGATCAATGCATGGAAATCATGGATCAATGCATGGGATTCATGGATCAATGCATGGAATTCATGAATCAATGCATGGGATTCATGGATCAATGCATGGAAATCATGGATCAATGCATGGAATCCATGGATCAATGCATGGGATTCATGGATCAATGCATGGAAATCATGGATCAATGCATGGGATTCATGGATCAATGCATGGAATTCATGAATCAATGCATGGGATTCATGGATCAATGCATGGAAATCATGGATCAATGCATGGAATCCATGGATCAATGCATGGGATTCATGGATCAATGCATGGAAATCATGGATCAATGCGTGGAAATCATGGATCAATGCGTGGAAATCATGGATCAATGCATGGGATTCATGGATCAATGCATGGAATTCATGGATCAATGCATGGGATCCATGGATCAATGCATGGAAATCATGGATCAATGCGTGGAAATCATGGATCAATGCGTGGAAATCATGGATCAATGCGTGGAAATCATGGATCAATGCGTGGAAATCATGGATCAATGCATGGGATTCATGGATCAATGCATGGGATTCATGGATCAATGCATGGGAATCATGGATCAATGCGTGGAAATCATGGATCAATGCGTGGAAATCATGGATCAATGCGTGGAAATCATGGATCAATGCATGGGATTCATGGATCAATGCATGGAATTCATGGATCAATGCATGGGATCCATGGATCAATGCATGGAAATCATGGATCAATGCATGGAATTCATGGATCAATGCACGGGATTCATGGATCAATGCATGGAATTCGTGGATCAATGCATGGAAATCCTGGATCAATGCATGGAATTCATGGATCAATGCATGGAAATCCTGGATCAATGCATGGAAATCATGGATCAATGCATGGAAATCATGGATCCATGCATGGAAATCCTGGATCAATGCATGGAATTCATGGATCAATGCATGGAATTCATGGATCAATGCATGGAATTCATGGATCAATGCATGGAATTCATGGATCAATGCATGGAAATCATGGATCAATGCATGGAAATCATGGATCAATGCATGGGATTCATGGATCAATGCATGGAATTCATGGATCCATGCATGGATTTCATGGATACAGGGAGCATCCCCCTGTGTTGCCATAGCAACGGGAGGCTCCAGTCTCCCAGTGCAGCCATGCAGCATTCCCATGGGAATACCGGCTGCAGCAGGGATGCTCCCAAAGCCATTCCCAGGTTTATCCCAGCATCCCTATGGATGGCTCTGAGTGCTCCGGGATGAGGCTGATCCTATCCCATGGGATGCTTGGATTCCCGGGAAGCATCTCCAATCCCCATGGGATTGCTTATCCCATTATCCCAGGGGCTCGCATCCGTTCTCCCTATGGAATCCCATAGGGATGGGGAGGAGCAGCTGCAGGGATTCCGATAGGTGGGAATTACCTGGCTCTATCTTTTCCATAGGGAAAAGGCCAGGATGGATGCCATGCGTTGGGATGCTGCTTCCCAGCGGGAAAACGGCATTCCAGGCCTTGGGAATGGGGAAAGGGATGGATAAAGGGGATGCTTCCATGGAGATCCCATTCCAATGGGAATTCCTGCCTTCGATCCCTGCAAGAGCATTCCCTATGGATGCGCTCAACGGCAGGGAAAGGCCTCCAGGATGAGGGTGGTTATCCCATAGGGCTTCATCCATCCATAGGGAATTCCCAGTGGGAATCCCACCGCTTCCCGGTCCAGCTTGGCTCCAATGGGATGGGGTCGGTGGGCTGTTATCCCAAAGGGTGGATTCTCCCCCATTCCTGCTTTTTCCTTTGGAGGGGGTTGGATTGCTGGGAAAGGGCTGTTCCCAATGGGATTCCAGGGTTGGGAATGCTGTGCCGTAGGTGCCGGGTCTCCTGTCCCGTGATCCCGCAGCATTCCCAAGGGTGGGAGGCGGAGGAGGAGGTGGGAAGGGGGGGTGCTCATTCCCGAGGGAAAGGGGGGGGAAGGATGGAGAAGGAGCGGGAAGCATGGAAAAGGGTGGGAAAGGAGGGAAAAGGAGGGAAAAGGAAGGAAAAGGATGGAAAAGGGAGGAAAAGGAGAGATAAGGAATGGGAAAGGATGGGAAAGGATGGAAAAGGAGGGAGAAAGAAGGAAAAGGGTGGAAAAGGAGGAAAAAGGAAGGGAAAGGAGGGAGAAGGAAGGGAAAAGGATGGAAAAGGATGGAAAAGGAGGAATAAGGAAGGAGAAGGATGGAGAGAGATGGAAAAGGATGGAAAAAGATGGAGAAGGAGTGAAAAGGGTGGAAAAGAAGCCATAAGGAAGGAGAAGGAAGAAGGAAAAGGAGGGAAGAGGATGGAAAAGGAGGGAAGAGGATGGAAAAGGAGGGAGAAGGGGGGAAAAGGATGGAAAAAGAGGGATAAGGATGGAAAAGGAGGAATAAGGAAGGAAAAGGGTGGAAAAGGAAGGAAGAGGAAGGGAAACGAAGGAAAAGGATGGAGAAACAGTGAAAAGGATGGAAAAGGAGGGATAAGGATGGAAAAGGAAGAAGAAGGAAGAAGGAAAAGGATGGAAAAGGGTGAAAAGAATGGAAAAGGGTGGAAAAAGAAGGGAGAAGGAAAGAGAAGGAAGGAAAAGGAGGGAAAGGGGTGGAAAAGAAGGAAAAAAAAGAAGGAAAAGGCTGGAAAAGGAGGGAAAAGGATGGAAAAAAGGGAGGAGGAGGGGAAAGGGATGGAAATGGATGGAAGAGGAAGGAAAAGGATGGAAATGGAGGGAGGAAGAGGGAAAAGGCTGGAAAAGGATGGAAAAGGAGAGAAAAGGAGGGAGAAAGAAGGAAAAGGAGTGAAAAGAATGGAAAAGGAGGGAAAAGTAGGGAAAAGGATGGAAAAGCATGGAAAAAGGAAGGAAAAGGATGGAAAAGGAGAGAAAAGGATGGAAAAGGAGGGAAAAGAAGGAATAAGGAGGGGAAAGGAAGGAAAAGGATGGAAAAGGGAAGAAAAGGAGGGATAAGGAATGGGAAAGGATGGAAAAGGATGGAAAAGGAGGGATGAGGAAAAGGATGGATAAAGAATGGGAAAGGATGGAAAAGGAAGGAAAAGGAGGGATAAGGGGGGTGTTTCCCAGGCCCAACCGTTCCCCTGAGGGAATTCCATATGGAACCCACCCCATCCCAGTGTCAAGCCTTGGGATAACGGGCACCATTCCCATCGGGAATTCCGTGTCGGCCCGGCCTGGACGTGCCTAAAGAGGGGATTTGGGATACCCCATTCCCATCATCCCCCCTTGGCTTGGAATGGAACCCACTCCCCAATGGGAATGGCGAGCGCTCCATAGGGATGCTCCATGCGCCATGGCCTGATCCCAATGATCCCAAAGCATTCCCCACATTGGGAATAGGAGAGGCAGGGATGCTCCCGATCCCTGGAAGAGCTGGAATTCCCAGTTTATCCCAGTCCCGGGAATACCCCCCCACCCCATTCCTGAAGGTGGGAAGCGGCCTTCCCCCCCCCCCCATACCCATTGCAAGCAGCACCCCTGGGACCCAGAGCCCTTATTCCCACATGGAGACACCTCGGCCTTGTGGGAATGACCCCCATCCCTATGGAATTCCCTATGGAGCCTGCCTGACCCCATCCCCCCTTTCCCAACGCGATTCCATTGGGGATATCCATGGATTTCCATCCTTATCCCATTGTTCCCCCCCCCTTTTCCCACCCCATTCCCTTTCCCAGCCCATCCGGGGGGGGGGGGGGGTGTTCCCTGCTTACCACGCTCCTTGGAAGCTGGGGCTCGGATACTGGGATTTATGGATAGGGAATGGCGGAGCTGGGATCCGTGAGGGGGAAGGGGAAGGGGAAGGGGGGGTGCGGAGCATCCGGATCCATGGGGATCCATCGGGAGCATCCCGGGATCCCGCCGCATTCCCGGGCCTCCCCTCAGCGCTTCCCGCCAACGGCGCCACAGCGCCACCTAGCGGCGGGCGGGCGCCAGCGCAGCGGCTCCGGAAGGGGCCAAGGGGGTGGGAGGGGGGAACGGAGGCCGCTGGGGATGTGGGGGGAGGCGGCGGAGGGAGCTGCTGGGGGCCGAGGCTTCGCGGCCTGGTGCAGGCCCCGCTAGGCCGCAATGGGCAGGGGCCTGCGGGCGGGAGGCCACGGGTTTCATACACACCCCCATAGGGACAAATGCGTCCCAAAGGTGGGGTTTCCCATGGAATTCCTCACGTTTGGAATGGTGCCAGCAAGGAAACAGGGCTACGGTGGGGTTGGGAATGGAGGGAGGCGGATCAATGTGAATGGGGCAGGATGATCCCTACGGATACCAAATTCCCCCTTTGGAACGCCTATTTCTGTCTAAAGACCCCAAAAACGAGGGGAAACAGGCCCGAAATTCCATGTTTTCCGTGGATTTGGGAACGGCGCATCCCAAATGGAAGCCGGGGTCCCTCCCTCTTTCCCTCCCCTCCTTTTCCCCCCTTGGCAAAAGGCATGGGGTTTTTATTTACAAGGAAAAGGCCGGGATATGGGGGCCCGCAATGGGAAAGGGGGGAATGGGAATGGGAAAGCCGGGAATTCTCTTTGGGAATGGCGCTCGTCCGGGAATGGCGCTGGGAATGGTGCTGGGAATGGGGCTCAGTGGCTCTCCCCTTTCTTGCCCACGACCTGAGGAGAGAAGAGGGGAGATGGGGGGGTTGAAGGGGGCGCTTCCGGCGGCATTCCCAATGGGAATTCCAAAGCCCAGCATCCAGAGGGAAGGAGAGGGAATGATTCCCAAAACCCCATCGAACGCTTCCCAAAATCCCTTTAAACACTTCCCAAAATCCCATCAAACAATTGCCAAAAAAACCCATGAAATGCTGCCCAAAATCCCACCAAATGATTCCCAAAATCCCACCAAGCACTTCCCAAAATCCCATAAAACAGTTCCCAAAATCCCCATCACACGCTCCCCAAAATCCCATGGAAAGCTTCCCAAAATCCCATCAAAGAATTCCCAAAAAAATCCCATCAAACACTTCCCAAAATCCCATCAAATGCTTCCCAAAATCCCATAAAACGGTTCCCAAAATCCCATAAAATGGTTCCCAAAATCCAATTAAGCACTTCCCAAAATCCCATTGATCACTTCCCAGATTCCCATTGATCGCTTCCCATAATCCCATCAAGCAATTCCCAAAAAACCCCATAAATCGCTTCCCAAAATCCCATAAAACGCTTCCCAGAATCCCTTCAAACACTTCCCAAAATCCCATTGATCACTTCCCAAAAATCCCACCAAATGCTTCCCAAAATCCCAGCAAACGATTCCCACGAAATCCCATCAAACGCTTCCCAAAATCCTATTGATCAGTTCCCAAAATCCCAGCAAACGCTCCCCTAAAAATCCCATCAAACAATTCCTAAAACCCCTCCAAACACTTCCCAAAGCCCCTATGGATCCCTATGGACTCCGCTCTTCCCAAAGCGAATCCCAAAGGATCCCCCCTTTCCCAAAGGGAAAATCCCTGCAGAACAAAACAGGATCCAAGCAAAGGGCCCCGGAGCTGGGAAGCAGCTGCCTGGAACCCCTATGAACGCTCTATGGGAGGAGGTTTGGGATGCTCCCATTGGGATATGGGAAAAGATGGGAACGAGGCCTCAAATCCCTATGGAATTGCCTAAATCCATGGATCCAGCGCCTCCGACTGCTTCCAACCCCATTCCCAACCCCCATTTGGGATGTTCCCATTGGGAATATGGGAAAAGTCGGGAATGAGGCCTCAAATCCCTATGGAATTCCCTAAATCCATGGATCCAGCGCCTCCGACTGCTTCCAACCCCATTCCCAACCCCCATTCGGGATGTTCCCATTGGGAATATGGGAAAAGCTGGGAACGAGGCCTCAAATCCCTATGGAATTCCCTAAATCCATGGATCCAGCGCCTCCGACTGCTTCCAAGCATTCCCAACACCCTTGGACCACAGCAATGGGATCATGGAATGGGATCCCTCATCCCAAGGGATGCAGAATCCCTGTTTCTGTGGTCCAGCAGTCCCAAAGCAGGGATGAGGATGCTCCAACCCAACTAAACTGCTCTATGGGAGGAGGTTTGGGATGCTCCCATTGGGAATATGGGAAAAGTCGGGAAGGAGGCCTCAATTCCCTATGGAATGCTGACTGTGGAAGGATACAGGTGGAATTTGGGAGGATGAAGGCACTTTGGGATGGGAAATGGGAATCCCTATCCCATGGACCAGCATCCTCAGCATCCTTTACCTTCGGATGCTTCCTATGCACCCTGACCCCCTGTTACACCCCTAACCCCATGGATTCCATGCATCCAACCCCATTCCCACCCCGCATTGGGGATGCTCCCATTGGGAATATGGGAACGGAGGGCACCGACCCTCTTGAAGTCGCTCATGTTGGTGGCCTGCACCGGCGTCCCGATGAAGGTGACGTAGGTGACGCGCGTCGTCTCCTCGCCCCCATGGTTGGACTGCACAAAGAGCTGCGGGCACAGCGTTCCCTATGGGACCCCAATGGGGAACAAGGGGGAATGGGGGGGGTGTCCCCTATAGGGGGTTCTATAGGGCCTCACGGTGACGCTGTTGACGTGCTGGAACTTGACGTAGCGCAATGGGATGCTCCCGGCCTCGCGGATGTCCTCGGGGCGCAGCTCCAGGGCCTGCGTGGGCTCGCTCCGCTCGGCCTCCGCAAAGTCCATGGAGCGGGGCAGGTTCGTGAAGAGCTTCAGGGATCGGGGGCCTTGCCCTATGGGAATGGGGGGGGAGGGAGCTGAGGGGTGCGCCCCATTGGGGGGATGGGGGGATGAGGGAGCCGATGGGTGCGCCCCATTGCTGGCTATGGGGGGTGAGGGAGCCGATGGGTGTGCCCCATTGCTGGCTATGGGGGGATGATGGAACCGATGGGTGCGCCCCATTGCTGGCTATGGGGGGATGGCGGAACCGATGGGTGCGCCCCATTGCTGGCTATGGGGGGATGATGGAACCGATGGGTGCGCCCCATTGCTGGCTATGGGGGGATGATGGAGCCGATGGGTGCGCCCCATTGCTGGCTATGGGGGGATGGTGGAACCGATGGGTGCGCCCCATTGGGGTGATGGCGGAACCGATGGGTGCGCCCCATTGCTGGCTATGGGGGGATGATGGAGCCGATGGGTGCGCCCCATTGCTGGCTATGGGGGGATGAGGGAACCGATGGGTGCGCCCCATTGCTGGCTATGGGGGGATGAGGGAACCGATGGGTGCGCCCCATTGCTGGCTATGGGGTGGGTGCGCCCCATTGCTGGCTATGGGGGGATGAGGGAGCCGAGGGGTGCGCCCCATTGCTGGCTATGGGGGGATGGCGGAACCGATGGGTGCGCCCCATTGCTGGCTATGGGGGGATGGCGGAACCGATGGGTGCACCCCATTGCTGGCTATGGGGGGATGGTGGAACCAATGGGTGCGCCCCATTGCTGGCTATGGGGGGATGGTGGAACCGATGGGTGCGCCCCATTGCTGGCTATGGGGGGATGATGGAACCGATGGGTGCGCCCCATTGGGGTGATGGCGGAACCGATGGGTGCGCCCCATTGCTGGCTATGGGGGGATGGCGGAACCGATGGGTGCGCCCCATTGCTGGCTATGGGGGGATGAGGGAACCGATGGATGCGCCCCATTGCTGGCTATGGGGGGATGAGGGAGCCGAGGGGTGCGCCCCATTGGGGTGATGGCGGAACCGATGGGTGCGCCCCATTGCTGGCTATGGGGGGATGATGGAACCGATGGGTGCGCCCCATTGCTGGCTATGGGGGGATGATGGAGCCGATGGGTGCGCCCCATTGCTGGCTATGGGGGGATGGCGGAACCGATGGGTGCGCCCCATTGCTGGCTATGGGGGGATGATGGAGCCGATGGGTGCGCCCCATTGCTGGCTATGGGGGGATGGCGGAACCGATGGGTGCGCCCCATTGCTGGCTATGGGGGGATGATGGAACCGATGGGTGCGCCCCATTGCTGGCTATGGGGGGATGGCGGAACCGATGGGTGCGCCCCATTGCTGGCTATGGGGGGATGATGGAACCGATGGGTGCGCCCCATTGCTGGCTATGGGGGGATGAGGGAGCCGATGGGTGCGCCCCATTGCTGGCTATGGGGGGATGGCGGAACCGATGGGTGCGCCCCATTGCTGGCTATGGGGGGATGGCGGAACCGATGGGTGCGCCCATTGCTGGCTATGGGGGGATGATGGAGCCGATGGGTGCGCCCCATTGCTGGCTATGGGGGGATGGCGGAACCGATGGGTGCGCCCCATTGCTGGCTATGGGGGGATGGCGGAACCGATGGGTGCGCCCCATTGCTGGCTATGGGGGGATGATGGTGCCAATGGGTGCGCCCCATTGCCGGCTATGGGGGGATGATGGAACCGATGGGTGCGCCCCATTGCTGGCTATGGGGGGATGAGGGAGCCGATGGGTGCGCCCCATTGCTGGCTATGGGGGGATGATGGAACCGATGGGTGCGCCCCATTGCTGGCTATGGGGGGATGAGGGAGCCGAGGGTGCGCCCCATTGCTGGCTATGGGGGTGGCGGAACCGATGGGTGCGCCCCATTGCTGGCTATGGGGGGATGATGGAGCCGATGGGTGCCCCCATTGGGGTGATGGCGGAACCGATGGGTGCGCCCATTGCTGGCTATGGGGGGATGTGGGTGGGTGCGCCCCATTGCTGGCTATGGGGTGATGAAGCCGATGGGTGCGCCCCATTGCTGGATGGGGGGATGATGGAGCCGATGGGTGCGCCCCATTGCTGGCTATGGGGGGATGGCGGAACCGATGGGTGCGCCCCATTGCTGGCTATGGGGTGGGTGCGCCCCATTGCTGGCTATGGGGGGATGATGGAACCGATGGGTGCGCCCCATTGCTGGCTATGGGGGGATGAGGGAGCCGATGGGTGCGCCCCATTGCTGGCTATGGGGTGGGTGCGCCCCATTGCTGGCTATGGGGTGGGTGCGCCCCATTGCTGGCTATGGGGTGGGTGCGCCCCATTGCTGGCTATGGGGGGATGAGGGAACCGATGGGTGCGCCCCATTGCTGGCTATGGGGGGATGAGGGAGCCGATGGGTGCGCCCCATTGCTGGCTATGGGGGGATGGCGGAACCGATGGGTGCGCCCCATTGCTGGCTATGGGGGGATGATGGAACCGATGGGTGCGCCCCATTGCTGGCTATGGGGTGGGTGCGCCCCATTGCTGGCTATGGGGTGGGTGTGCCCCATTGCTGGCTATGGGGTGGGCACTCACCGTTGTCGGGCCCCTGGAGCCTCATGGAGTACAGCCTGACGGGCTGGCTGAAGGCCACCGTCAGCAGGAGCTGGGGACGGGACACGGTGCAACCCCATAGGGATGGGTGCCAGCCCTATAGGGGCCGGTGCCGTTCCCTGCCCCTTCTTTGCCCTATGGAAGCCGGCGCCATTCCCAACCCATTCCCACTGTTCTCCCTATAGAAGCCAGTGCCATTCCCAACCCCTTCTTTTCCCTCTGGATCCCAACCCTATTCCCAACCCATTCCCATTCTTTTCCCTCTGGAATCCAGCCCCATTGTCTTCCCATTGTTTTCCCTCTGGATCCCAGCCCCATTCCCACCCCATTCCCACTGTTTTCCCTATGGAATCCCAACTCCATTCCCAACCCATTCCCACTGTTCTCCCTATGAAACCTAGCCCCATTCCCACTTGTTACATGAAAAAGCATCTGCAGGACATAGATAGCAACCTCAGAAAACCCTACACCCAGTTTTATAGACTATGCCATAGGACAGAATAGAATCAAACAAATTAACACTGGAGCTTACCATTTCGAGACAAATCAAGTTCCACCAGCTGCATGAAATTTGCTATTTCTGGAGGGAGCCGCTGGATTTCATTATCACTAAGTCCAAGTTTCCGTAACTTCACAAGTTGGAAGAAAGGCTGAAAGAAAGAAAAAATATCCATGTCAGAAAATACTCACCTAACTCACATATAAGTGTGATACATGATAAGCAATAATTGGAAGATGGTTTCAAAATCTGAGATAAAGTTATGGCTTAAAACCACCTATGCAGACCTCTTTCAGACCCACATCAGAACAAACATGTTAACTTTAACACGCAGACAGACTAGAATCTGTGTTTTACCTAAAACAAAAATCTATTAAAAATAAATAAATAAATAAACTGTAAAGCTCACTATCAACAGTCACAGCAGACACACTACTGAAATCCAGGATGCCTGCTTCAAAATCATTAATGGGGCGAGGTTACCCAGCAGGGTAATTAAAAGCATCCTAATTACACACTGGGGCTCATTAGGAAGTTAATACAGAGGGGCATTTCTAAAGGACAATCCAGAAAGGGGCTGCCAAGGTCTTCTTCATCGGCAAGTGCCATAAACAACTAGGTTACAGAGCCAGCCTCCCTCGAGAAGACTTTCTTTCTAGCTTCATACACCCTGCACTCCGCGGCCCAGTTTCAGAAGGACTAATGAAAGTTGGATGGGATATGCACAATTTCAGGTCTTCCCAGCTAGAGGAGGAACCCAACCCAGACCTATCTTTATGGTGAACACATGGAAAGGCAATGCAGACAGGGGCTCAGAGCATCTGGCAACCCCCAAGACAAAACAATCTTCAAAGGAAACTGGCCAAGTCAGGCCAACCCCAGGTGCTGGGAGCAGCTGGTGATCAAAAGTCAAAATGGGCACTAAAAAATGACTGAGATGTAGACATCCCCAGGAAAGGTGGAGAGCTCTTACCCTAGCTTTCCTCTCTTCCGGGCAGGCCTCTGAATGAGAGTGAGTGCAAGTGCTGAGGATCTGTGTGATATCAAATAACTTTATATACACGTCATCTTGGCCATAACTGACCAGACTCTTAAAATTTCAGGCAAGTTTTGTGCTTCCAGAGTGCATTTTTGCCCAGCAAAACCTCAGAACCTCTGCATCTTACCCACCTGCAGCACGTGTGCGTGCCCGCATTCTCACGGGTTTTGCCCTTAATGGTAAATGGTAGATGCTAGCAAGTTCGGGATACCTGCTTACATGTAATCACCTGCAATCCTTTACTGGAAATGAGCACCTTTTTTAATTATTATTATTTTATTTAGGTGCTGGAGCGTGTGCTCTGAATGTCACTCAATTCTATCTTAGATTGACACAAAAAGGGGCAGTATGACAGGCACCTTATTAGAACACAGGGTAAAAGCACAGTCTTATGAATCTATATTATGACATAACTTTTCAATCTTAGTTTGACGTCTTATACCTAAGATCATAAATCAGGTTTTAAGTGAGGTTTTGCAACCTCAGCATCAATCTTGCAATATATATTTTGGTTCCTTGTCACAGAAAAATAAAACAACTTAAATTAATGTGCTTTCCCTCAAAAACATGGGTTCCTTTTAGGAAATAAAAAGGATACAGCTTTAAAAAAAATTATACGCACTCAGAAGTCAGAAGATGCACCAGACCTGAATGCGAACATTTCAAGGCATTTTTTGAGTCAGAATGGGACTCTCCCCCGAGTATTAAAGGCCTTTGATAACAGAGTTTAAATTGTAGGAACAAATTAAAAAAACCTTTACAATTCCACATTTCTAACTCCCTAAAAACACATATTACAATTAAAATGGCCACAAATGGAGGGGTTTTTTATCCTTCTTTTTCCTCACAAGATCTATAACTGCATTTTGCTATCATTAACATTATCTTCTAAAGCAAATGCATTCCTTTTAATAAATATTTATTAATATGACTAAACCAAGAATCCATCAGAAGCTCAGAAAAGCACTTAAAGACACTTTTCTGAAAACACAGAGATCCCAATCTTTCCTAACACTATCCAAAATGAATACTTGCCAAAAAGTGT